TGTTTCCTCCTTCAAAATATCATTTGGTGAATCATGGGTGACTCCATCAATTGTAACCCGTTTCATTAAGTTATTTTTGGTAGCATTCCTATGTTGAAGATGAAAAAAGAATCCATCCAGTTTGCTTTATTTTTTATAATATATTACACTTGATCTTTCTTGAATAAGTTTCTCCATTTATTTTTGTTTTTCCTCTAATTTATTCTGAGCCTCTATGTAACAGTTTTTATTGCCATCTATCTGTTCTGTTAGACTTTCTATTTCCTTTGTTAGTATAAACTCTTTTGACCTAAATTGCTTTTGTTTTCGAGATGAGTACTGAATTGCATGGCATCTAAAGGCACATTTAAAGGTGTCCCATACAATAAGGGGATTTGCTGTACCTATGTTATGTCGGAAAAAGTCAGTTATAAATGCCTTTGTTCTAATTATAAATAAATTATCATCCAATAGGCATTGATTAAATTTCCAATATCCTCGCCCACGTGGAAATTCAGTAAGAGTAATGTATATGGCAATTATATGATGGTCCGACCGCATTCTGTCCCCTATCAACACTTTTTTTAAACTTTTGGTGCCAATGAGAATGAGATAAGAAAGAAGTCAAGACGACTAGCTTGATTCAGTCTCCGCCATGTATATCTCACTAGATCAGTATATTTAAGCCTCCATATATCTACTAGTTCTAATGTATCCATGACATTCACAATTTCCTTAAGAGCATGTGGGTGATTGTTTGTGGTGTGATTTCCTTTACGGTCCATTGAGCTATTTAAAACAGTATTATAATCCCCCACCATAATAATATTGTCTTGAATTGCTTGCAGGGTTGATAATTTATTATATATTGTCAAAGAATTGTGGATCATCATTATTTGGTCCGTAAAGGTTAATGAGCCATATCTGTTTATGGTCCAATAACATATTTTAAATAATCCATCTACCTTGCATATCTATTTGGACAATTTGCACATTCGGATCGAAATTACTATTAATTAATATCATCACCCCTTTTTAAATTTCTTTGCCCATGGGAGAAGTATATTCCCCCCCGATTCCTTTTTCCATGCAACTTCATCTCAAATTGTTGAATGAGTTTCCTGTATACAATGGATATTATATTCCTTCTCTTTGAGCCATGTAGACTGATCATTTCTTTGTCAGTGGGCAAACGTACAAAATCAGCAGGGGATCAAATACTTTTTTCCCCTCACTGTATTTGCTTATGGTCTTGCCTACGCCTAGCGAACAGTTTCTTAAATTATATGAGAAAAATATTCCATTTTATTTGGAACGGCAAGCCAGACAAAATTAAACGGGCCTATTTATATAATGAATATGAATTCGGAAGACAGAAATTATAGAATATTAAAGCATTAGACCTATCACTAAAAGCATCAGTCATACAAAAGTTATACTTAAATCCGAACTGGTTCTCTAGCAAATTAGTAAGATTGTCTCACCCAATGTTCAAGAACTGTCACGGTCGTTGAGAGACGGGTCAGACCAAGGTGCAGCGTGGTATGCGAACATGTTTATTAAACTCAATAAACAAAACAATAACCAACGTAACGTGAAGTCCTCAGGCTATACACATACAAGCCTAAACACGGAACAAGATCCCACAACTAAGGTAGGCAAACAGGCTACTTAAGTATGATCCCCAATCAGAGACAACGAGCGACAGCTGCCTCTGATTGGGAATCACACCCGGCCAAACCTAGAAATACACATCTAGAATCTAAACATAGAAATAATAACATAGATCCTCACGCCCTGACCAAACCAACTAAAGACAACCGGCCTCTCAAGGCCAGGGCGTGACAACAACCTCTCACTTTCAGTTATTTGAAAAGGAAATAATCTCCCAAATATCACTATTTCTAAAACAAGCCATAGAAAGTTGATTGTAATTTCAATTTAATCCTCCAGAAAGACAGAACAAATAATGCAAAAAAAATTGTGGTTAAACTCAAATATACTAATTGATAAAAAACCAATATAAAAAATAAAATAAAAAATTAAATGTATAGTCTTCGTAAATAATATCATAGGTAGGACATGCAGCTAACAAAAACATATGGAAATGTCTGCTCTACCCAAAATTACAACCAAATAATTGCAGCATTACCGCAAAAATGGAAGAAGAAAGTGGAAGGTGAAAAAGTAAGGAACTTGTCTGTCGGCCCTGCATTAAATAACATAATTGGTTAAAGAAAATTGTGATAAATAAAGAAGTATACCAGTTCATTTAAGGACAAAAGGATTGACAGCCGTCCCATATAGATTGCAAAATAGTTGGGAAGAGATTTTTGACATACCGATTCCATGGCATAGCGTTTATGAACTGAATGAATGTTATTTATATAGGGGATACAATCTTCCCAGCTCTGCAGAGTTTGCTGCAAAGAGACATAATCATTAGATCATTTGTTTTGGTACTGTCCATTTGTAGTTTGTTTTTGGACACAGGTCCAGGAATGGCTAAAGGATTGCAATATTTACCTGGAGCTAACCCTGCAGATAGCACTACTGGGTGATCTGAAAAGTCATAGTTAATCAATTAATAATGTAATAATGATTTTAGCAAAAAATGTTTATTTTCAATTTACAATCTGTAGAAACAATGAGAATAGAAAGTTTCAGAACTTTTGTAAAACATCACAGTACAGTTGAAAAATATATGGGAAATAGAAATCCAATATGGATGGTGTTAAGAGATAGATGGGAGGTGTTGAATGGAGTTGAAGGATGGGACTAATAACAACTAACAACAACTAATAACAACAAGATAACTAATGTAAAGCATACTGTGTCCATAATAAGTATATAGGTTATAGGTTGAGAGCTTTTGTGAAAGAGCACAGTTAGAAATATATGGCATATAGAAGCAAACCAGATGGACATCATGAATATGATCGGAGAAGGTTGAGGGTAGAGGAAGTTCAGGAGTAAAAACAAACAAAATAGAATCATTGTAGAATTGACTGTGTCCATAAAATGTATATAGTATGTATAAGCTGGAAGTAGAGGCCTAAACATTGACGTTCACTAGTTTACTCCAATTAGGGAAGGGGTGGTGGGGTTGGAAAGTAATAAAGGGAAATATATTTTTTTAAAGGATGTATATATATATACATATGTATGTATATGTATTTATATGTATATGTGTGTGTGTGTGTGTATAGAGTGCCTTAGCAAAAGTATTCATCCCCCTTGGCATTTTTCCTATTTTGTTGCATTACAACCTGTATTTTATATAGATTTTTATTTGGATTTCATGTAATGGACATACACAAAATTGTCCAAATTGGTGAATGAAATGAAAAAAATAACTTGTTTCAAACAATTCTAAAAAATAAATAATGGAAAAGTGTTGTGTGCATATGTATTCACCCCCTTTGCTATGAAGTTCCTAAATAAGATCTGGTGCAATCAATTACCTTCAGAAGTCACATAATTAGTTAAATAAAGTCCACCTGTGTGCAATCTAAGTGTCACATGATCTGTCACATGATCTTAGTATATATACACCTGTTCTGAAAGGCCCCAGATTCTGCAACACCACTAAGCAAGGGGTACCACCAAGCAAGCGGCACCATGAAGACCAAGGAACTCTCCAAACAGGTCAAGGACAAAGTTGTGGAGAAGTACAGATCAGGGTTGGGTTAAAAAAAATATCAGAAACTTTGAACATCCCACGGAGCACCATTAAATCCATTATTAAAAAATGGAAAGAATATGGCACCACAGCACACCTGCCAAGAGACGGACGCCCACCAAAACTCACGGACCAAGCAAGGATGGCATTAATCAAAGAGGCAACAAAGAGACCAAAGATAACCCTGAAGGAGCTGCAAAGCTCCACAGCAGAGATTGGAGTATCTGTCCATAGGACCACCTTAAGCCGTAAACTCCACAGAGCTGGGCTTTATGGAAGAGTGGCCAGAAAAAAGCCATGTGGGAGACTCCCCAAACATATGGAAGAAGGTACTCTGGTCAGATGAGACTAAAATTGAGCTTTTTGGCCATCAAGGAAAACGCTATGTCTGGCGCAAACACAACACCTCTCATCACCCCGAGAACACCATCCCCACAGTGAAGCATGGTGGTGGCAGCATCATGCTGTGGGGATGTTTTTCAAAGGCAGGGACTGGGAAACTGGTCAGAATTGAAGGAATGATGGATGGCGCTAAATACAGGGAAATTCTTGAGGGAAACCTGTTTCAGTCTTCCAGAGATTTGAGACTGGGGCGGAGGTTCACCTTCCAGCAGGACAATGACCCTAAGCATACTGCTAAAGCAACACTTGAGTGGTTTAAGGGGAAACATTTAAATGTCTTGGAATGGCCTAGTCAAAGCCCAGACCTCAATCCATTTGAGAATCTGTGGTATGACTTAAAGATTGCTGTACACCAGCGGAACCCATCCAACTTGAAGGAGCTGGAGCAGTGGCTAGATGTGCCAAGCTTATAGAGACATACTCCAAGAGACTTGCAGCTGTAATTGCTGCAAAAAATGGCTCTACAAAGTATTGATTTTGGGGGGGTGAATATTTATGCACGCTCAAGTTTTCTGTTTTTTTGTCTTATTTCTTGTTTGTTTCACAATAAAAAATATTTTGCATCTTCAAAGTGGTAGGCATGTTGTGTAAATCAAATGATCCAACACCCCAAAAAATCAATTTTAATTCCAGGTTGTAAGGTAACAAAATAGGAAGGGGGGTGAATACTTTCGCAAGCTACTGTAACAATTATGAGAGAGAGAGAGAGAGAGAGAGAGAGAGAGAGAGAGAGAGAGAGAGAGAGAGAGAGAGAGAGAGAGAGAGAGAGAGAGAGAGAGAGAGAGAGAGAGAGAGAGAGAGAGAGAGAGAGAGAGAGAGAGAGCAACCTGGATAATTCGACTATAGGCTTCATGTGATGTAACCAACCCCTTAAACCAGTTTGGGTGAATGTTGCCTCATCAAAGTGTCATCAAAGTAATCTGAGTAGGCTATCAAAGCAGGTTATGGCACTTCTCAAGTGCATGAGAAACGTACCCAACTATTACTTATCAGAGAGTGAGATCAACTGAAATATGCCTTCACAGCAGTGGTGGCCAACGTTTCTCGGGGGTGGGGAGCGAGACAACCAGTCACAGCCGACACAGTCAATAAATATATTCCTCACCAGTCAACCTGTCAATCAGGATTAATGGTCTTTAAAAAAACTGCCTTCAGATCGCAGGTCTTTTCAGCACTACGGGAACCGGTAGTCAGAGCTCTGTAAATTAAGCTACAAAGTCAGAGGCGGTAACGTCCAAAGACAGGAACACAACACACTTGTAGACGATTCAGTAGGGCATGCCTTCGGAGACACTCGCGCCTTCTTTAGGTTACTCGAGTTCATTTGTTAAAAGTAACAAAGTTCTACCGGTGTAAAGAGGTCTTTAATCAAAGAACATAGTTTTGCCAGTATTCTGAATAATCGAGAAACATGCTTGAGCTCCGTATATTGACGAGTTTATAAATTTGAGGAAATATTGACTTCATGTGCTGCAGTAGCCTACTTCAGTCTGCTATTAGTTTTAACCAGATAATTACCAAAGAACCTCATCTTGAACTCTGCTCTGCCAAGGACATCACGATTGGAGGATATCGTTATTGAACTTGTGTTTCTGTGTTCGAAAGTTGTTTTGAGAATTTAGGTAACATGGATTTGAAGTGTTTGGGCTATATGGTGCTGTTCCTCATCCGCATTCTATACTACATATTGAAAGCAAGTGTGTGCTTACTGCAACCAAGTAGACGGAGAACCCTGACTGAGGAGGTGGTGCTGATCACAGGCGGGGGGCGAGGTATTGGTCGTCACCTGGCTCAAGAGTTTGCCAAGCAGAGGGCTAAAAAGGTAAATTAAACAGTTTCTCCACTTTTTTTTATTATGCAACTTGTTGGGCATTAAAAGTCAGGTGGTCCACTTAGCCTAGGCAATAGGAGCACTCAAAATAGCCTATATTAGCCTATACCCGTGTAGGTTTTCATATCTTTTGAATTAGTACACTCATTAATTATATGGTTCTAATGATGACTGAGTTGATACCCTGTACCAACCTGTACCTCTGAACACCACCTGTGCCATACCTAGTCTTTTTTACACACATTTCTTGACATAACTATTATTTTTATTGATGTAGTACACCCTCACCCCCATCCTCCTCCATATGTTTGCAGTAGGTACATTGGGAGGGCAAAGACATCAGTTTGTCCATGTGTTCCTCCAACCTATTGTTTCTTTCAATATGAATGCAGGGGGTCATGACGTTAGGAGTAGATGGGCCATTGAGGTTGCAGGACAGGGTCCTCAGTTTTGGTGCAAGTTGCACAGCAGAGTAGGTCAACCAGAGGGCATGTCCGTTTGACCGCTGCAGTAATATAGTGAAGCACATAATTATTTTTGTTCAGCCAAAGCTCCGAAAGAGGAGTTATGGCTGAAAACTGATAGTGGATGAGATCAGGCATCATTAATGTCCAGAACAAAGTTTTATTGATTAATGACTGCCAGCAGGACTGACCTTGATCAAGTGATAACATATCCCTGCTATGGATTTGGGATGAATGTGTGCTTATTTTTTCTACTTTTGAAACTCTGAAGAAAGCTAATCACATAATCCTCACAGAATAAATGTTGTTGTCCATCTGGGACCAGCAAAGGAACACTTAACTATGCCATGTGCCAACACAATATAATATAATATGCCATTTAGCAGACGCTTTTATTCAAAGCGACTTACAGTCATGTGTGCATACATGTTTATGTATGGGTGTTCCCGGGGATCGAACCTACTACCCTGGCATTACAAGCACCATGCTCTACCAATTGAGCTACAGAGGACCACAAGACATCACATTGCCATAATAAAACAGATTCAGATGTGTTTTTCAAGCAAACCAGCAAGGCAGAAATGACCTTACACTGAGTCATTTAGGTGAAATGAACCCACAGAGGAAGGTGACATGTTTTAGCTGCCTCACCCATACAAAACATTCACCATCCAGCCAGGGCTCTTATAAATAGCCTGTCTCCACCCCCATCCCCCCTCCCTAACAAGGAGCAGTCACTTAGGCTTGAAATACCTCAGTGACTACATTGACAGTCCCCGCCAGGCCTCCACTACTGGTCAGACTACCCACTATTCCTATTTTAACTTCCTCCAAACATTACACAGCTGAGTGCATAGTGAGCCACCATGGTGTTATGTTAGCTCTGGTATGTAATGGACAGAGTCCTATCCATTTTACACCTCTCGGACACACAGATTGAGACATAATAATTTCATAATGAATACCACACCCCCCCCCCCCCCCCTTTTACAAATCAAAATCAAATTCGCAACGCAGAGTGCCTGGATACAGCCCTTAGCCGTGGTATATTGGCCACATACCACAAACCCCTGAGGTGCCTTATTGCTATTATAAACTGGTTACCAATGTAATTAGAGCAGTAAAAATAAATGTTTTGTCATACCGTGGTATATGGTCTGATATACCACGGCTTTCAGCCAATCAGCATTCATGGATCGAATGACCCAGGTTTATAATTGCTGTTCTTTTATGTGGCCTTTTCCACATGTAAGATTGCAGCTTATTACTGTCTGAGCTAAAACCTCCATTTTGAGTTAAAGTGCTTTGGCCTCGCTCATCATCCTTCCATCAACATCTTCTCAGGGGAAAAACCCAGAGGAAAACTGTGGCTTTTAAAATATAATTTGCTGCTGCACAACAAAGGAAGTCACCATTCTTGTCAGCACCCCATTGTTAGGTATTACCAAGGTGTGAAGGCTTTGAAAACAACACCTGCGCTAATGTGCCTGATAATTACTCCCTGCCTAAGAGATGTTAAAAAGAAGTAAGACATTCATCATGAATAACCTGTAAAGCAGACTTTACCCCAGTTTGAGGTCCATTGTGATTGGCAGACGGAATTTCTCTATTCTCTCTGCCTAGCTTTTGTGCTTTCACTGTAAGGACTCATGAGTGCACTAGCCACAGCATTGATGCTGTGAGGTGAAGAGGACAGACTTGTGAGAGGGAGATAGAGGGAGGTGACGGGGGAGTGAGAATCTGTGTGTCGTCAAAAGAGCCGTTACAGAGTGAAGCACTAAAACAATAAACCACAGCAACCATTTACAAAAGCAGCAGAATCCACGTTCAGAGAACAGAGAGGGAGGGTGCCTCTAGGAGAACCACAATAACCACAATCTTTCTCAGCCCTGGCTACTCATTTGGAGAACTGGGAACATATGCCTCTACCCAGGTTGATTCGTTGAAGCACTATATAGTGTGTGCTTGTGTGCGTGTGTGTGCGTGTGTGTGTGGGAAGCACACTGCTCCCAGCTGGGTATTGCCCTGCAACTGACCCTGCTGTCTATGCACTAATTATACTCTCCCTGTTAGCCCCTATCCCCTACAGCTGGTGTGAAGAGAAGGGTTCATGCCCATCCTTGAACCCAGGTTTTTCCTTGTGAATATAATTGCGTTGTGGTGTAGGGATGTGGATGAGGCCCACCACACTGCCAGTTCATCATTGCACACTGACACATCAGCCCTCTGTAATGGCGAAGACTTACTGTCCTTGAACAGACCAACAGTTTTACACAATTGGTGAATGTTGTTTAATATTGTCAGATATGGAACTTCAGAGTAATCACTGGTTTATCAGTGATACTTAGTCACCTGATGTGAGGGAATTTAGAATTAGTTTTACCTCAACACGTAGGCATTCTAAACTGATAGCTCTAGATTTAACCGGCCATTGTTTATCCTGAAGCCCCAGTGTGTTGGCACTGGCAGATAAGCATAATGAATTAAATAACAGGAAAACACAGTGTGAGTGCTGTTAGGATGAAATCCTATGAAAGGCTTTCAGTCATTTACCTAGACCCACCTGTCCATCTCTTCTGATTACTAAAATGGGCTGGCAAATGAAGCAAACAAAAAATGAATCCTATGAAACTCAAACAAAGACCCATCCAGTGGAAAGACAAACATTTTGAAGTCTTGGAACTGATAATAACTTAATGTCATGCAGATTGTGATCCTCTCCTTGAAATTAATTAAGGCCCCAAAGCAAACATTTCACTTTAAAGTCTCCTTCGCTTAGTGCTCCCATTATGTAATTCACAGACAGCTGATCTGTCAGTAAAACAAGACCGATAGCAGCAAAACCTTAGGCAACCTTAGGCAAGCTATGCATGTTTGAGAGGTTGAGATATACTATCCTCCTATTCATTCCTAAATAAATTAGTGCTTATAGCCCCTGGCTGTCTCTGTACTCTTCTCCATCAGGATAAGGATGTCACTGTGACCTGTACTTGTGTTTAAGTTAACTTACTTGTTAGAATTAGGATTGTTATAGTCACACAAGATTGATATCAAAGTGTAAGGGTGGATGAAAGACATTCAAGTTCTTGCACACACGTGCACACGCACCCAGACACACACACACAGAATCACTTTCCAGAGGATTTTCTGCTCAAATATTAACCTCTGTCACAGGCGACCAGCCAAGCCCTACATTGGCCCCCTCAGCACTTCACACACGCACTGTTTTCAGACTCCCTGACCAGAAATGACAGGGCTCATCTGCCCAACAGGCCGTGTAATCTCTTTGAGAATGTGTGTTTGAGAGATGAGGAGGGCTCGCCCCCTGATTTCATTACCTTTCCCTGACCCCAAAGACTGACAGATCTAATTGCCCAATCGCTGCCTCCCACCTCCGTTCTTTGCTCAAATGACTGAGCTTAATTTAGCCTCACCAGGCTGATGAAGAGACGGTTCATTCACATTGCATCTCGCTCTAAAACTATTTGCTGCACCTAAAAATGGCCTCTCTGTTCTCTGAATGAAATGAACATTTCAACCAAATGATCTCTTCTCATACTTTTGGACCAAATGCTGCAAACATGAAATGGCTGTGCACTTGTTTAGAGCATGGGCTGTTGGTATAGTTGTTTGGTTTTGGCTACCCATTGTAAGGTTCTGAACAAAGAGAGTAAAAACTCAAATGGACGACTAGTAAAAGCTCAAACCACGTTTATTCAACCTACTGGGTGGTTTAGCTGCAGACACAACATACAAGTCACACAAGCACATAGTTATACCTTCCGACTAGGAGTCACCTCTTTTGTATGTCTAAGATAAACATCCTTCTATGTTGTTAGGCAGAAACTCAGTCTGTTCCTCTTACTGGTATTGTCATGGCCCTGCCTAAATTTAGAACCTTCATAGGTGTGTGTGTGTGTGTGTGTGTGTGTGTGTGTGTGTGTGTGTGTGTGTGTGTGTGTGTGTGTGTGTGTGTGTGTGTGTGTGTGTGTGTGTGTGTGTGTGTGTGTGTGTGTGTGTGTGTGTGAGAGAGATAGGACGGTAGTTAGATGGTCTTCAGGGTGGGCCCCTTTGGCCCCACCCAGAGGTTTCTTCTCTCTTCAAATGTTGACCTTATCTCGAGTTGAGTTCCACATCCCTCCTTGTCCTAGTTCCAAGGCAACTGGCCTGCCTTATCAGGAACTGAGACTAGACTGTTGCTCTTTGCCTCCTTCCTTAAAAATATGAATATCCATGTTTAATAACATGCACTTCCCCTTGTCTCATTCTATACACAAAGTTCCTATTCACCCTTCATTGACCCCCAACATATACATGTAAAGTAATCAATAAGTTATAGTATGGTAACATGAATAAGCATATTTCAAGCCAGAATTCAACACCATTAAACATATTTTAGTCATGTTTCTCCTCAGGATTTGGACAACAATAAATGCACAGATAGCTGATTGTTGAAAAGCTAAATATCACTATTCATGCAGCTGAGCTACTTGCTCATCTTCTATTCAGAGCATATTACATATAGTATTACGCAACTTAATTGTCAGTCATTTTATAACCCTATTTTGTAACCCATGGCTAGTTTACCTTCAACATGTTTTCTTTCTTAGGTGATCCTGTGGGGCCGCACAGAGAAGTGTCTGAAAGAGACATGCGAAGAGATCGCCCAATCAGGAACAGAGTGCCACTACTTCCTGTGCGACGTGGCCAATCGGGAGGAGGTTTACAAGCAGGCCAAGGTGGTCAGGGAGAAGGTATGCTATTTAGATCATCGTAAATCCAATGAGAAATTTTTATCCACACAAATAAAATGTTGTTTGTAGCCAGTGAAATGCTCACGGGTCAAAGTTTCTATCACTGCGGTTACTCCCCTCCACAGAACTGGCAGGGGTTCCATAGCTCCTTAATTCCTCTCCCCCATCTGACATATAGATTACACCTCAATTGCAATGTCTGGATAAGATTAAAGTGTTGAATATGACTGTCTGTCAGCTCTACCACATAACTTCACATGAAAAGAAAGTAGGTAGAAAGTGGATAACCTCTTAACAGTAGAAAAAAAACGCGGTCTTGTTTTTGACGTTTGTTATGTTATTATTTTCCTAGGTGGGAGATGTTACGATCCTGGTGAATAACGCTGCAGTGGTCCATGGGAAAAGTCTGATGGACTGCGACGATGACGCTCTCTTGAAATCTCAGCATATCAACACAATGGGGCAGTTCTGGGTAAGTGTTGTTGAGGTTTAAGAAAGAGAGGTGTGGGCTTCCTTACAGTTAGATCAATCTTATCATTTTGACAGAGGTCGGCGCCCAGCGGGCATGTCAGTCTCAGCTTCATTTGCATGAGTGTAGGGGTATTTCCAAATGATAGGCTTACTGCTTCAGCCCCTAGATAGGCCTCTGAAACCTATGGCACTCTGTTTGAATATAGATCAAATTGTCAGGTTGTGTGCAGACAGAAATGCAATCATCAGCTAAAAAGAAATGTAAACTCAATCTGTGGCTCCACTCGGGCCTGCTTCCTCTGCGTGTCTCTATTTAATGTGTTTAACGGCACATTTTCTCCCATGTCCGCCCTCCCTACCTTCTTCTCTCCCATCCAGACTACAAAGGCCTTCCTGCCACGGATGCTGGAGCTCCAGCACGGCCACGTGGTCTGTATAAACTCCATCCTGTCCCAATCGCCCATCCCTGGGGCCATAGATTACTGCACCTCCAAGGCCTCCTCCCTGGCCTTCATGGAGAGCCTGACTCTGGGCCTGCTGGACTGTCCCGGGGTGGGCTGCACCACCGTGCTCCCCTTCCACACCAACACTGAGATGTTCCAGGGTATGAGAGTCAGGTGAGCAACATGATTCTTCACACTCTAGTTTAGATTAAACCATGTATTGTAGTTACTGTATACCTATTCTCGCTGGGTTTACTGTTCTTATAGGTTTCCAGCACTCTTCCCTCCCCTCAAACCAGAGACAGTTGCCGAAAGGACTGTGGATGCAGTCAGGACTAACACAACCTACGTTTACATGCCTTGGACCATGCATGCTCTCGTCGTCCTCAAAAGGTAATGCCTCATGTAATTTTGGCCAATTTAAAGTACATACATGTTTTTCACTCATATGTAACCCCCTGTCTCTGTATTTTCTCCACACCCTAGCTTTATGCCACAGGCTGCACTTGAAGAGATCCACAAGTTTTCTGGAACCTATTCCTGCATGAATACATTCAAGGGGAGGACATAAACACACATTATCCTGAATGTCAATACATATCAGCGGAACCTCATTAACTCCAGAGGATGTTGAAGGGAAGTATACATGGGCTACAGGACATTGGGAAACAATGGAAGCCTTTTGAAAGTATGCAGCAAAGTGACATGGGGACTTCAGCATGTATTGTTGCTCCGGCAGGTAGATTTCACTTACAAGCTGCTGGAACTTATCCTGGTCACATTCTTGATCTCCTGTGTGTAGTTGGACGGACTTAATACCATTCACACATTGAACATAAGCCATGCAAAACTAGCCTGGATCAACAGCCTTTTTTCCACAAGTCAGTTTTTTTATAATATATTTTTTATCCTACCAATCATGTGTCTTTGAATGGAATCACATTAATAAAATAATGTTTCAGAGAACCAAGGTGTCTCTTTGTGCATGTAGACTAGAAAATGTCTAGTGAGTGGTCAACACAGCAGAGTTAACCAGATGATTCTCACATGGTAGAGAATTATAACACAGTTATGCAAACCATGAGATCTCTGACCATGCCAGGATGTGTTGTCAAAACAGCAAATGAGTAACATTCATTGGAAGGCAAAACAGATCCATACACTGCTCACTTATACACTATGAAGTAGGTTAGGGCTGGGATTAAATCCAAAACCATGCTATATTGCATTTTACATTTAAAGGTAATTTCTAATTGAGCCAACATCTGTAGCGTTGACCTTAAATGCGCTAACATTGCCTTTAAAAGCAGCATTGTCGACTAGAGTGCTCGGATTGAATCCCGGCCACAAGTTGTTACATGCTGGAAAAAGATTAACCGTAAAACCATGAATGTTTTATTGAAAAATCAAAAACATGGTTTAAAAGGCCTTGCGAGATGTATCCCTGATATCATCAAAGATAACCTTTGTAAATTACAGTATGTGTGGTGTCGGGGAATACCTGATTTAGAAGAACAAGCTTTCATCTTCCAGAGTGGAGGTATTTAATGATTAATAAGTGGCCTTGGTTATCTTTATGACATTTACATATGGTACTATATAATCAGGGGAAGAATGTACAGTTAGCTTTGCCCTCCTAGCTGTGAGAGAGAGAGAAAAACTCCATCCTTTCTCTATTTAAAATGATGCTCCCGAACTTCAGCCAGTAGTTTTGAAAGTGAAGCTCACGAGACAAAATGGGTCCCCGTTTTTTTGTGTACAACATCATCCAATTGTGTACTTACTACGTCATCCATTTCGTATGATATGTTACATCCTGCAAATAATTATTTTTTATTTATTATTATGTTACAAATCCAATTCATACAATATGTTACAAATTTGTTGTGCTTAAGATCCTGAACTGCACCTTTAATAAAGTGATCTATAGTATAGTGCACAGATAGACACCCAGAGTTGTGTTGTTGTGTACCCTATGTCTGAGCAGAAGGCAAGGCAAGCACACACACAAAGCCCCAGGCCAACCAATAAGAGATACAGTGGCTTGCGAAAGTATTCACACCCCTTGGCATTTTTCCTAATTTATTGCCTTACAACCAGTAATTAAAATGGATTTTGGGTGGATTTGTATCATTTGATTTACACAACATGCCTACCACTTTGAAGATGCAAAATATTTTTTATTGTGAAACAAACAAGAAATAAGACAAAAAAACAGAACTTGAGCGTGCATAACTATTCACCCCACCAGAGTCAATACTTTGTAGAGCCACCTTTTGCAGCAATTACAGCTGCAAGTCTCTTTGTCAGGGTGATGTGTATGCGGTAAACGAAGTCAAGCGCAGGACACCGAGCTACTGGCAGACGTACTTTACTGAACACAGTAATCAAAGTACAAAACAAACCTCCTAACAGTGAGGAACAATAACTCGCACACAAATGCAACTGCCGACCTAACGAAAAACAATCACACACAATACACCATAAGAGACAGGGAGTTATAAAGGGAATACAATGCAACATAATTGGAGACAGGTGTAAACAATAAAGACCAAACAAGACAAACACCGAAACATAGATCGGTAGCAGCTAGTACTCCGGGGACGACGAACGCCGAAGCCTGCCCGAGCAAGGAGGAGGAGCAGCCTCGGCTGAATCCGTGACACTCTTGGGGTATGTCTCTATAAGCTTGGCACATCTAGCCACTGGGATTTTTGCCCATTCTTCAAGGCAAAACTGCTCCAGCTCCTTCAAATTGGATGGGTTCCGCTGGTGTACAGCAATCCTTAAGTCATACCACAGATTCTCAATTAGATTGAGGTCTGGGCTTTGACTAGGCCATTCAAAGACATTTAAATGTTTACCATTAAACCACTTGAGTGTTGCTTTAGCAGTATGCTTAGGGTCACTGTCCTGCTGGAAGGTGAACCTCCATCCCAGTCTCAAATCTCTGGAAGACTGAAACAGGTTTCCCATATTCTTTCAATTTTTTAACAATGTATTTAATGGTGCTCCGTGGGATGTTCAAAGTTTCTGATATTTTTTTATAACCCAACCCTGATCTGTACTTCTCCACAACTTTCTCCCTGACCTGTTTGGAGAGCTCCTTGGTCTTCATGGTGCCGCTTGCTTGGTGGTGCCCCTTGCTTAGTGGTGTTGCAGACTCCGGGGCCTTTTAGAACAGGTGTATATATACTGAAATCATGTGACACTTAGATTGCACACAGGTGGACTTTATTTAACTAATTATGTGACTTCTGAAGGTAATTGGTTGCACCAGATCTTATTTAGGGGCTTCATAGCAAAGGGGGTGAGTACATATGCACGCACCACGTTTAAGTTATTTATTTTTGAGATTTTTTTTAAACAATATATTTTTTTCATTTCACTTCACCAATTTGGACTATTTTGTGTATGTCCATTACATGAAATCCAAATAAAAATCCATTTAAATTACAGGTTGTAATGCAACAAAATAGGAAAAATGCCAAGAGGGATGAAGGCACTGTAACTGTAAAAACGGGGAAAGTGTCTACCCTTTGGCTGCCAAACAAGACTCATAAACATTCATTTGAATCCCAGCTAACCATAAATGCCCTCCCGTGCGCTCACTATAGGGCCGCTCATTATGATAAGTAGGTGACCCGCACCGCACTGGGCAGAGGGAGAGAGTATGTGCTCTGCTGGGAGAAAAACTGAGCCTCTGTTAAGGGTGTGTTTTTAATTCCCTGAGTGGGCTATATCTGTAGCGAAAGAAGAGGGAGAAGACCGAGGCATGTTGAGACTGAACTAGGTCGATGAGGGAGCCATGTAGTGCAAGTATGGTGGAAGAGGAGGGCTGAGAGCAAGTTTAGCCAAATAGTGGATAAATCAGAGGGGGGCTTGGAAAGATACACACAAACACACACAAACAAACAGTCTTTGAGCCTGAGGTACCAGGCACAGGTGGAAGCAGGGGTGAATAGGGTGGGACTGTTGATGCTGTCATGATCGTTTAAAGATTCGTGAAACCAAGGCGCAGCGTGATAAGCGTACATTTTATTAAAGTACTTAACTCACGACAAAACAACAAACAAACGAAACGTGAAGTCCTAGGTTACACAAAACAAACCTTAACGGAACAAGATCCCACCCCGACTAGTGCCAAACAGGCTGCCTAAGTATGGTCCCCAATCAGAGACAACGAGATACAGCTGCCTCTGATTGGGAACCACCCTGGCCAACATAGATCTAAACGATCTAGAAAACACAACATAGAAAATATGACATAGAAACTCCACACCCTGGCTCAACATTTCAGAGTCCCCAGAGCCAGGGCGTGACAGTACCCCCCCCCCCCCCCCCCCAAAGGCGCGGACTGCGACCGTGCCACACAAACACAACAGGGTAGGGGCCGGGTGGGCATTCCGCCTCGGAGGTGGATCCGGCTCCGGGTGTGACCACCACTTTCTCTCCACCTCCCCGTTGCGCTCCTGGTCTGGTCTGGCACCGCTGACTGGAGCTGGACCCGACGACGGTGGATCAAACCGTACAGGCTCCGGACTGGAGCAGCTGGCCGGAGCTGGACTGGACATCGGTGGAGCGGATTGCTCTGGCTCCGGAGTGGATCCGCTGACTGGAGTTGGACCGGACCCCTGTGGAGCGGATTGCTCTGGCTCCGGAGTGGAGCAGCTGACCGGTGCCGGACCAGGCACCGGTGGAACAGGCACGGGCCGTGCCGGACTGGACACACGCACCACTGGCTTGGTGCGGGGAGCAGGAACGGGCCGGACCGGGCTGACGACGCGCACCACTGGCTTGGTGCGGGGAGCAGGAACGGGCCGGACCGGGCTGACGACGCGCACCACTGGCTTGGTACGGGGAGCAGGAACGGGTCGGACCGGGCTGACGACGCGCACCACTGGCTTGGTGCGGGGAGCAGGAACGGACCGGGCTGACGACGCGCACCACTGGCTTGGTGCGGGGAGCAGGAACAGGCCGGACCGGGCTGGCGACGCGCACCACTGGCTTGGTGCGAGGGGCAGGAACAGGCCGGACCGGGCTGGCGACGCGCACCACTGGCTTGGTGCGAGGGACAGGAACAGGCCGGACCGGACTGGGAACACGCACCACTGGCTTGGTGCGGGGAGCAGGAACAGGCCGGGCCGGACTGGGAACACGCACCACTGGCTTGGTGCGGGGAGCCGGAACGGGCCGGGCCGGACTGTGGAGGCGGACTGGAGGTCTGGAGCGGAGAGCTGACACAACCCGTCCTGGCTGAATGCCTACTTCCACACAATACGTGTGAGGCATCAGCACAGGACGTACGGGGCTGTGCACTCGTACTGGCGCTACAGCACGTGGCACTGGCGCGGGATATACTGGACCGAGGAGGCGTACTGGAGACCACGAGCGTTGAGCCGGCACACCCCGTCCTGGCTGAATGCCCATCTTTGCACGACACGTGCGTGGTGCTAGCACAGGACGTACAGGACTGTGCCGGAACACTCGCGGCACAGTACGTGGCTCCGCATAACACGGAGCCTGCCCAGTCACACGCTTCCTAGCCTGAGTACGGGGAGTTGGCTCTGCTCTAACCCTAGGCTCAGCCAACCACCCTTTTAGCCCCCCCCCAAAAAAAAATATTGGCGCTGTCTCTCGGGCTTTCTCCTCGCCCGGTACCCTCTGCGTTGCCGCTGCTCCTCTCTATAGCGCGCCTCCACAGTCTCCTCCCAAGGACGGCGATCCATTCCGGCCTGAATCTCCTCCCAAGTCCAGGATCCCTTCCCGTCCAGGATCTCCTCCCAGGTCCAGGCTGTCTGTTCCTGGACACGCTGCTTGGTCCTCTTTTGGTGGGATCTTCTGTCACGATCGTTTAAAGATTAGTGGAACCAAGGCGCAGCGTGATAAGCGTACATTTTATTAAAGTACTTAACTCACGACAAAACAACAAACAAACAAAACGTGAAGTCCTAGGTTACACACAATAAACCTTAACGGAACAAGATCCCACCCCGACTAGTGCCAAACAGGCTGCCTAAGTATTG